AAAAGCTCAGCGCCTAGGGCTTGCCGATCGAAAGGTCGGCAGTTCGAATCCCCGCAGCGGGGTGCGCTCCCGCTGCTTGGTCCCAGCGCCTGCCAACCTAGCAGTTCGAAAGCACTCCCGGGTGCAAGTAGATAAATAGGGACCGCTTACTAGCGGGAAGGTAAACGGCGTTTCCGTGTGCGGCTCTGGCTCGCCAGAGCAGCGATGTCATGCTAGCCACGTGACCCGGAAGTGTCTCCGGACAGCGCTGGCCCCCGGCCTCTTGAGTGAGATGGGCGCACAACCCTAGAGTCTGTCAAGACTGGCCCTTACGGGCAGGGGTACCTTTACCTTTTTTTAGTTGACATCAAATTCAGTAGATTATCTATCAATTTTGGATCTGCATATAGTTTACTGTCCAAGCACCCACAGCACCCTTGGCATTGCAGTACAATTGTGTCTTATGTGGGAGTTTAGTTCCAAGGGTCGCCCGTATAGGCAAAATGCATGAACTCAAACCCTTGGAACCAAACTTTTATGTAATCTTGTGGGAGCATCCCAGACTGGTGAGAGGAGATAGCCTTGCTCAGAAAGCAAGCCAGATAGCTTAAAAGCTCTATGTGCACCAGGAAAATCCAGTGTAAAAATAGTTTCTAAGTTCTCTGCCTCACTTCCAAGCAAAGCCTTTTCCACACACCAGCATTTAACGTCAATCAGCCAGTGTTCAACTGCATATGGTTGAAATCGCACAAGTTAAATGTGCATAAGACAGAATCATATCTTTGGGGCCTATCACCCCTACATTCTTGTTTTTATGATAACTTATTTGAGTTGGATATAGCTCTTGGATTTATGTTCAAACCTTAGGAGATCGCAATGGGGAGCTAACGATTCTATTGATTCCAATGTGCCACAATGGAAGAAATAAAAACTTTCAGTTTTATGCTAGCTCTTATATCCCAGTCCAGATCTCCCTTTGAATGTTTTAATATTTGTTTTTGAACTGTAGAGACTGCCCTATTAAAAAAAGTTATAAAAAACAAACAAGCTGAAACAGTGATAAAAAAGAGCAATACAATATACATTTCGGAATTGAGAAAAAATGAGCACACCAAAAAAGGGGGGGAATAAAACTGCTATACAGTGGTACCTCGGGTTACAGGCGCTTCAGGTTACAGATGCTGTTCAAATCAGCTGTTCAAATCCCCGTGACGGGGTGAGCTCCCGTTGTTCGGTCCCTGCTCCTGCTAACCTAGCAGTTCGAAAGCACGTCAAAGTGCAAGTAGATAAATAGGTACCACTCCAGCAGGAAGGTAAATGGCATTTCCGTGCGCTGCTCTGGTTTGCCAGAAGCGGCTTAGTCATGCTGGCCACATGACCCGGAAGCTGTACGCCGGCTCCCTCAGCCAATAAAGCAAGATGAGCGCTGCAACCCCAGAGTCGGTCACGACTGGACCTAATGGTCAGGGGTCCCTTTACCTTTACCTTTATTATGTATCTTGGCACAAATCATATACTGAAGGGCATAATTATCTCTTGCAATTTTCTTTGCTAGATAAAAGCTTGTTCTCAGTTGCGGGCCTCAGGACTCTTCCCTTCTGCCTTTTGGTGTGGATTAGCTCTGGTGGACGTCCCTTTGCATTTTATTCTCCTCCTCCTGCTGCTTTGGCCGTGGCTCAGACTATTAAACATTGTGGGATCTCATGTCCCTGCTACCACAATTTTATGTTTGGTGAGTATAATTACTTACATTACTTTTTAATAGTCTTTAAATGACCTTTAATGTTTACAATGCTTACAAACTAATGTTTACAAATGTTACAAACATTGAACCATTTCCACTGAATAATAAACTTGGGCTGCGATCCTCAATAGTTTACAAGGGAGTAAACTCACCCAAACATAATGGGCCTTCTGTATAGTTTGGTCATATGAAATGAGTTCCCAGAAAACCCTTGTTTTCAGATACCAGTCTTAACAATAAATATTAACCTCCTTCTTAACAGGTGTCATTTCTGTTTGGCTACAGCACATCAATGGTCTTATTCCTATATGTAATTGCCTTCATGTTTCGCAACAAATGGCATGCTAGCAGTTTTTGGTCATTCGTCTTAATCTTGGTAAGTTTTATGACCAGACCACTGACTGATCATTTATTTCCTTATATCCTTAATCTTACAATACCTCTAATTGTTTATAATTTTCCATTAAAGTAGACAAATCAATGGATGCTTCAAATTTAATAATGTGAAATAATGTAAGACTGAATGACATGTTGAACAGAAAAGAGCATGAGCAGTGATCCTTT